CCCCACAGTAATACTGCTGAGTCATTCATTAAGATTATGAGAATAAAGGAAATGAGCGCCAAGCTTTGATTGTTCAACAAATTTTCCTTGTCATTACCAAAGGAAATGTACAGAGAACAATAGAGAGAATACAGAGACTCATATTAGGGTGTTAAGGGTTAATTATGCATTATCCTGCAGTGCAGGTGGATTTTGGTGGGGCGAGTGGATATTCCCATCGGTTGTTCAGGCCGCCATCTTGAATTAGAAAAACAGTGGAGAGTTGGGACGAGGTAAAAAGTTTACCACCACTCCGACATTCTCCCATTCTCGCCCCAATTCTCCCAGTGTGCAGTGAATCCAACATGGCAGCTAAACACTTGAAAGATGAAAAATTATTTATTATGCATTATTGTTATCTTGTTCAGGGCTCGACACTAACTTTTCAACTTACTAGCCAAGTGGCTAGTTACAACTTGGATGTTACAACAATTTTAGTTTGTTTACTAGCCAAACTGGCTGGTGGAAATCGAAAACCAGTAACCAAAACTGAATTTCTACAAGTCTGTGGCTAGTTGGTTACTGTTAAGTGTTGAGCTGTGTTGTTTCCTTGGTTGTCTTTATCATTTGCCCTTGTCATCACAGAACTTATTGATTTACTCAATTTAGAAAGCAAACTTACATCTGTTAGCCCCTGACAGGTCCTAACATCAGTATGTATATTCTCCATACTCTTCTCTATACATTTTCTTTGGTGCAGACAAGGAGAACTTGTGTAGCAATCAAAGCTTGCTAGGCTGGGATCATTTTGTGTATTCTCATGATCATAATGAATGACTCGCCAGTATTATTCTATGGAGAATTTAGATACCAGTCACTTGTAGCGTACAAAGAGTGAAAGAGCAAGTTTTTCAGTTTTCATATGATAGATTTATTGTACTTTTTCTAGGTATTGGAGGCACCTGTGTCAATGTAGGTTGTATTCCAAAGAAACTCATGCATCAGGCTGCTATACTAGGTATGTGCTTTTACAATGTTTTGCGTGATTGCTGAATGCAACTTATTGCAACAAGTGTTGAGATTGAAAATGCACTAGAGGCATGTTGACAGATTTTTGTGCTGGTGGGTAGGTTTGAGGACCAGAGGCACAGAGTGATGAGATTATTGGGGGGGAGGGGGGGGGCAGGAAACCAGTGGAAAATGTTGAAACAAATTTCTAAGTCAAAATGAATTTAGGCCTTGATCTTTGAAGAGTGTGCCAAGCTCAAGACCCTTTGAATGCATTTGGGTGAACAATCTACCACTTTATCTCTTTCAAATCAGCCGTATCTAGAAAATGAACTTTCCCAG